TGAGTTTGAGAGTTCTTTATGTATTTTGAACACATGTTCTTATCAGATATATGATTTATAAATATTTCCTCCCATTCTGTCACTTGTCTTTTCATTCTCTTAACAGTGTCTTCTGAAGAGTAGAAGCTTTAAGTTTCATGAGCCCAAATTTATTAAAATTTTCTTCTATGGATGATGCTTTTCATGTCAAATGTAAAAAAAACTTTGCCTAATCCAAGGTCACAAAGATTTTTCTCTACAAGTTTTTATCATTTTGGTTTTCAATTCTTAGGTTTATAATCTATTTTGAGTTCATTTTTGTATGTGGTACAAGGTATAGACTTTTTCCCAATTGGCCCAGCACCATTTGTTGAAAAAACTGTCCTCGGTACATGGACAGGCCTTTGCGCCCGTGTTAAAATCAATTGGCAATGCACATGTAGAGGGGCTTTTTTTCTCTATATATGTCCCATTGATTTGTCTCTATACCAATATCACATGGTCTTCATTGCTGTAGCTGTATACAATGTCTCAAAATCAGGTAATAAAAGTCCTCCAACTTTGTTTCTCTTTTTCAGAATTATTTTGGCTATTCTTGGTCCTTTGTATTTTCATATGAATTTTAGAATTAGCTTGTAATTTCCTACCAAAAATAAAACTAACCTACTGGAATTTTTATTATTTTGCATTAAATATATAGATTGATATGGGAAGAACTGGTATCTTAACAATATTGAGTTCTCTGATCCACGAACATGGTGTCTCTTTCCATTTACTTAGTCTCATGTTATTTCTCTCAGCAATGTTCTATAGTTTTCAGTATACAGATCTCGCATGTCATTTTTCAGATTAATCTCTAAGTATCACATACTTTAGCACTATTGGGATAGGTTAAGAGAAAGTTCAATTTCCAATTGCTTGTTTTCGTGATTTGTATATTGATCTTGTATCCTGAAACATTTCTATATTCAGCAAGTGCTAGTATTTTTCTTTTGTAGATTCCATCATAAATGATAATGTTATGTGACCAAAAAAAAAAAACCAAACACGACCGTTTTTCTTCTTTCTCTGCAATGTGGATCCCTTTCATTTCTTTTTGTTGATTTATCGCACTGTTTAGAATGTCTAGTAGTGTTGAATAAACACGGTAAGAGCCCACACGCTTGACTTGTTCCTGATCCAAGCCACCATCAAATATGAAGGCCAGTTCTATAGTTTCCTAATGCTCCCATTCCAATCTACTTTACACACAATTAAAATGATCACTGTAAAATGTGAATGGGCAAGTCACTGCTCTGCTTAAAGCCTTCCTGATTTTCCACTGTCCTGAGAAAGAACAACTCTTGCATGCTCTGTCACTGACCATCACTCTGACGTCTTTTAAAGTCACACCGGACCCAGAGCACTGGGTTCCAACCAAACACGCCTCTTTCAATTCCCCCAAGCTCTTTCATCCTAGGGGCTATGTACTGCTCTCTCAGCCGGGATCACTCATTCCTGACTCTTCAAATGTCTGCTTCCCCCTAGCTCTTCAGTTTTAAGGGCTCCTCAACAAGGCTTTCTTTGACCTCCCAATGCACAGTAAGTTCCCCCTGTCACTCCCTCCTGATATTTACACTCACCTACTTATTTTATGTGTGTTTCCCATTCTGAACTGTAACCTCCTTGACAGCCAGTTCTCTATTTTATTCACCTCTATTTTCTCAGTGCTCAGAACAAGTGCCAGCACATGGAAGGCACTCAGTAAATATTTACGTATGAATCAAAATGCCAGTATCATTAAACACTCACTTCTATTACAAGATTGCTCTTTTATAAGATTAACTAAGAAATTAGCCCTGGCCGGTTTTGCTCAGTGGATAGGGCGTCAGCCTCTGGACTGAAGGGTCCCAGGTTCGAGTCTGGTCAAGGGCACATGCCCAGGTTGCGGGCTCTATCCCCAGTGTGGGGTGTGCAGGAGGCAGCCAATCAATGATCCTCTCTCATCATTGATGTTTCTATCTCTCTCTCCTTCTCCCTTCCTCTCTGAAATCAATAAAAATATATTTTTTTAAAAAGAAATTATGCCCATGGCAAAAGTGAAAAAAGTGGCACTGCGTAATTTTTTTTGTCATTTTACCACTTGAAAGTAACGACTCCCAGAAGTAAGGCAGAATTGAAGACGGTGCTTACTATAAGTACAAATACTTCTTAACAATATCTTAATACAATGATTTAAAAATGAGTTGCACATAACATAGGTTTGACATGAGGTTGTTTAAAAGTTTAGCTGCCTACATTATATAGCAAACCCTCTTTAACAGTCATTATTATTGCCCCATAAAGTCTTATCCAGTTGCTTAATTCTTCAGCATTTTTAGATATAGTCAGAATCACACAATTAAATACTCTCCTATGCCTATTGTTCAATTGTTTTCCATATAGTTTTTAGGCCTACTTGATATAGAATCTAATCTGGGACTGAATTCCATCTTTTTGTATTTTTTAGTACAGAGCAAGATAAATGAGAATCCTAAATAAAGGACTGCATGTTGATTAGCTCAAGAAATGAATGAAATTATTTCATCAAATATTTTCTTAGTATATATTCATTAGTATACATTTTCTTTATAGTACCCATTTATTCAGTTTTCTATAATATGGATTAATTTTTATTACTTTAAAAGGTTATTAAAGTCATCTTTATAGCTCAGTTATATAGTTTCAGCAGACACATTTGATTCTTTGTATAAATATACTCTATAGATGAGTATATAATATTCTTTACATATTCCCATAAAATTAATATTGGGGGAGTTATTTAATTAACTTTATTGTAACCTCATTACCAAAATGATTTTTTCAAAATAATTTAGAATCCTCAAGGTCACTACTCTCTATCCTTCATTTTTTATTTTTATTTCATGAAACTTTAGACATTCATACCCTCTGTGGACCAGATTTAGCCTGCTCAACACAGTATGTGTATAGCATGCTCAATATATTTAGCTTTAAATCTAATTCATGTAATATAGAATAACTTTATTCTTAAGAGAGAGAGAGAAACATTAGTGTGAGAAATATCAATCCGTTTCCTCCCATATGCTCATTAAACCTGCAACCTAGGTATGTGCCCTGACCAGGAATCAAACCCTAAACCTTTTGGTGCATGGGACAACACTCCAACCTACCAAGCCACCCAGCCGGGGCTAGAATAACTCTTAATCAAGAGGACCTAACTACCTGTTCCTTCTAATGTTGTTTAACTGGCACTTCCAGGTGTTAAGCTAACAAGCATAGGTCAGTTAATATCACTGAAGTTGAATGTAAAATTAAACTTAAACTGTGTAGACTTAATTCCATTTAAATTATAGCATGATTCTGGGAAAATAGATATGAAAAGGCTTGATTCACTTTTGAATCACATGCAATGCTAAAATAAACATAATAAACACCTCAATTCATCATTGTAACAAGTAAAAAAAAAAAAACAACCTCATTCTGCCAGGATAGAAGGGTAGGTATCTTGTAAAAAGGGATGTAACATGGTACATCCCTACATCTAATTTAAATCATAGTAATTGGAACCATGCTATATATGTCTATATATGCCTAAAAATAAAACACAAGGGCACACTAATAATTACAGTATTTTAAACACATATAAATTAATTTAAAAGTTAGGGAAAAGTTACAACCAAACAGAAAGCCAAAGAAACGTATACAAAACTATTAGCAAACATAATCCCCATTAGTATGTAACCTCCCTGACCCCATTATAGGTAAGCTCCCTAAGGACACAGATTGTTGTCTGTTTTGTTCATTCAAGTTCTTAAGACCAGCACTTTGCACATAGGTACAAATGAATAATAAATCTTACATATTTAACAGTATATATTAACTAGAGGCCTGGTGCACGAATTCATGCACCATGGGATCCCTCGGCCTGGCCTGCGGGATCAGGCCGAAACCAGCTCTCCAACATCCCCCGAGGGGTCCTGGATTGCAAGAGGGCGCAGGCCAGCTGAGGGGCCCCACCGGTGCATGATCAGGGCTGGGGAGAGATGAGGGAGGTTAGCCAGTGGGAAGGGACCATGGGAGGGCTCCAGCACATGTCCAGCCCGTCTCACTCAGTCCCGATCAGCCGGACCCCAGCAGCATGCTAACCTACTGATTGGAGCGTCTGCCCCCTGGTGGTCAGTGCACATCATAGCAAGCAGTTGAGTGGCCTTAGCATATCATTAACATATTACACTTTGATTGGTTGAATGGCCGACCCGTTGACCAAACACTTAGCATATTAGGCTTTTATTATATAGGATAATCCATAAATAACTAAATAGAGGAAAGAATATTCTAATAGATCAAATATTTTTTGTTTATAGCAGGAAAACTAATTCTGAAGAATTTAGGAAGCAATAAAATGAATATAAAACTAAAATTGTGATGGCCCAATTCAATCTTTATTTGATGATTCTTTAGAAGTCACACCACAGGGTCATTATTAAGAATTCAGTGAAATTATATATTATCAATGTTGTTGAATACTATTAATATAAATTTAACTTAACAGAATACCAAATAATATAGATTAACCAAGTAATATATATGCATATACGAATAGCCCACAGACACAAATAATAATGTGGAAAGAAGGGGGCAAAGGAAGTGGGTGGAGGGGGGCAAAGGGAAGAAAAATGGAGGACATCTGTAATACTATCAATAATAAATAAATAAAATTTAAAAGATAGCTATGATTTTGTAAAACTAAAATTTTTATGAGATACTGAAAAGCTAACTTTATTAAAATGTCTCTACTCAGAAAATGACTAAAGAAATCTTTATTTCAACTAAGATCTGGATTTCTCCATTTCCATCAACTAATTTCCCTAAATATTTTCATCACAATACAAAATGTGTATCATAATACTTCCTCCACTCAATGATTAAGGTACAAAAGATCAGCCATCAAAAGCTCTGAAGTTTTCTCCTGACAATGAAAAAAAAATGGCAAATTCAATACTCATTTCGCACCAACTTACTCTAACTTTTGGCAAGACTCTCCGAAGTGTCTCAGCAGGATTCTGTCGCATCAAAAACGGGAGATTTGCAATCACACTTGTTCCCTGGATATCTTGACCAGCACTTACAGAGAAAAGACAAATTTACAATTTGTAATTGTAAGCTGAATACCTAGTTTATGACTATAAAAAGCAGATTAATTTGAAAAATGGCTGCTTTTAATGACAAACACTAAGACTTAGACAAAGTTTTAATTTTCAAACACCATTACTTAAATACAAAAATAAAACCAGGACAGAAATTTCATTAAGTAAATCTTATAACATGTGCATGAAAATATTAAGCTCATGCTAAAAACAAGATTAACTTTTAAGTTTAAAAGTTTTTAAGACTATTATTAAATACTTTAAAATTCTACCTCATTTTTTTTTCGTATGACCTACCAATTTGCTGTACTGTCTAAAAATTATAAATGGAAAGTTTTCATCATGGTAAAATATTAATAATCACTACAACAGGAATAGCAACAAAACCAACTACACAGAATCATACAACTTCCTTCTGTTATAATGAAGTTACCTGTGGCCGGCCTAGACTAACTCTGTGAGTTGCAAGAACTTCTTAAAGAAATACTCAACATTCTTAAAGGTCAGTGGGGTATATTTATACAGTTACCTTTTTGACATATTATTCATTAGATCACAAAAGTTTTATCAAAATAAACTCAGTGACATAAGATTTCCAAGTACCTGACATACTATATAAAAGATGCTAGAAAATGTGGCACTGCTATTCTGATACCAATTTACATGCTAATTGCTGATGCCATATTTATTTATCTTAATTAAAATTATTTTAACTTAGCTCTTCAAATGGAACTATTTGTTATTATATGTATGTTAAGATCTTAATATGGTTTTTAAAGTATTATATTTGTTTGCTTCAGTTTTATAAGTTCTGTTAATAAGAAGCAGATTCTGCAGAGCTGCAGAGCTATGAAGAAAGGCATTTGCCCTGTTGTAGTAAGGTAGGCTATGAACCACCAGTCAGCACAATATTCCACTGCTGTCACCACTCCCTAAGTCAGTGATGGCGAACCTGTGACACCTGTGTCAGAGGTGACACTCGAACTCATTTTTTTGGTTGATTTTTCTTTGTTAAATGGCATTTAAATATATAAAATAAATATCAAAAATATAAATCTTTGTTTTACTCTGGTTGCAAATATCAAAAAATTTCTATATGTGACACGGCACCAGAGTTAAGTTAGGGTTTTTCAAAATGCTGACACGCCGAGCTCAAAAGGTTCGCCATCACTGCCCTAAGTGAATACTTTAAAAGACAAAAGTCAAGAAGGAATGGGACTGAAGTAAGGGACGCATGCCAAGATGGGAAGATGGTCAAAAAAAGGAAATTAAAGTTGCATATAAAATTACTAGTTGTAGTGGGTTGAATGGTGCCCTTCCCACCCCATAAAATATGTCTCTGCCCTAAGCCTAGATTCCATGATGTCATCTTCACTTGAAAAAGGACCTTGAGCCCTAACCGGTTTGGCTCGGTGGATAGAGCATTGGCCTGCGGACTGAAGGGTCCCAGGTTCGATTCCGGTCAAGGGCATGTGCCTTGGTTGCGGGCACATCCCCAGTAGGAGGTGTACAGGAAGCAGCTGATGGATGTTTCTCTCACTCATCGATGTTTCTAACTCTTATCCCTCTCCCTTCCTCTCTGCAAAAAATCAATAAAATATTTTTTTTAAGAAAAAAGAAAAAGGTCCTTGAGATGAAGAGACCATTCTGTTTACCCAGGTAGACTATAAACCCAGTAACAGGCATGAAAAGAGACACTCAGAGGAGAAGACACAGAAAAGAAGGCCGTGTGACCACAGAGCAGAGACTGCAATGATGCAGCCACAAGTCAGGGATGCTGACAACCCACAGAAGCTGGCAGAGGCAAAGGACAGCCTCTCCCTAGAGCCCTGCTAACAACTGGGTTTTGACTCAGTGACACTAATTTCAGAACCCTGGCCTCCAGAATGTGAGAGAATAAATGTCTTTGTTTTAAGCCATCTAGTTTATGGTAATGTATTATAGCAGCTTCAGAAAACAAATCCACTACTAAAGAACTGAGAGAGAGAGAGAGAGAGAGAGAGAGAAAGAAAGAGAGAGGGGGGGGGTAATGTTTCATATGACAATTTCTGGCCTAGAGTAGAGGATCAGTAAATGTCTCTTAAAAAGATGAATAAGCTCTGGCCCAGGTGGCTCAGTTCGTTGGAGCGTTTCCTGTACACCAAAAGGTGGCATGTTCCCGGTCAGGCCACATACCAGGTTGTGGGTTTGATCCTCAGTCAGGCTGCGTGCATGAGGCAGCCAATCTCTCTCTCTCTCTCTCTCTGTCTCTCTCTCTCTCTCTTCCTCTCTAAAAATCAACTCAATATTTTTTAAAGGATGAATAAATGGATGACTCACCGGGTGAAGTTCCCACCTCTGCATAACATTCTTGAAATGACAAAATTATACAAATGGAAAAGACAGTGGTTTCCAGGGGTTAGAGATGGATGTGGAAAAAGATCCTATCTAATAAGGAGGGAATATGCTAATTGACTGCCCTGCCCTCAAAGATGGCGGCACCCACAGCCAATATGGAGGGAATATGCTAACTGACTCCCCCACCCTCAAAGATGGCGGCGCCCACAGCCAACAAGGAAGGAATATGCTAATTGACTGCCCAGCCCTCAAAGATGGCGGCACCCACAGCCAATAAGGAGGGAATATGCTAATTGAATGCCCCACCCTCAAAGATGGCGGCCCCCACAGCCAATAAGGAGGGAATATGCTAATTGAATGCCCCACCCTCAAAGATGGCGGCCCCCACAGCCAATAAGGAGGGAATATGCTAATTGAATGCCCCACCCTCAAAGATGGCGGCCCCCACAGCCAATAAGGAGGGAATATGCTAATTGAATGCCCCACCCTCAAAGATGGCGGCCCCCACAGCCAATAAGGAGGGAATATGATAATTGACTGCCCAGCCCTCAAAGATAGCGGTGCCCACAGTCAATAAGGAGGGAATATGCTAATTGACTGCCCAGCCCTCAAAGATGGTGGCGCCCACAGCCAATAAGGAGGGAATATGCTAATTGACTGCCCCACACTCAAAGATGGCGGCGCCCACAGCCAATAAGGAGGGAATATGCTAATTGACTGCCCCACACTCAAAGATGGCGGCACCCACAGCCAATAAGGAGGGAATATGCTAATTGACTGCCCAGCCCTCAAAGATGGCGGCACCCACAGCCAATAAGGAGGGAATATGCTAATTGACTGCCCAGCCCTCAAAGATGGCGGCGCCCACAGCCACAAGATGGCGGCACTCAGTCCCCTCAGCCCCGCCGGGGCAGCAGATGCACGGCAAGGCCAGGCCCGCTCGCTCCGCATGCCTGCCTCGGGAGTCCCCTCGTCCCCTCAGCCCCATAGCCACCCAGGGCCGGCCTGAGGCTCAGGTAACCAGGGCCGGCCGAGGCTTGTGCTGCCGGCAGTGGCAGCAGCAGAGGGGTGATGGGGGGTTGCCTCCCGCCCCTGAGAGCTCCTGGACTATGAGAGGGGGCAGGCCGGGCTGAGGGACCCCCTCCAGTGCATGAATTTTCTGCCACCGGACCTCTAGTGTGACTATAATAGTGTAACCTGCATAATGAAAATCTTAACTGTCTTGATTGTATCAATGTCAATATACAGGCTGTAATATTGTACTTTAGTTTTTCAAAATTTTACTGTAAGGGGAAACAGGTTAAAGAGAACATTGGCATCTGTATTATTTTTTACAACTGTATGTGAATCTACAATTATCTCAAAATAGAGTTTAATTTTTAAAAAATCAGTCAATGTGACAGACTTTAAAAAAATACATATGAACATCTCAACAAACACAGAAATCTGACAAATCCAACATTCACTTATAATTTAAAACTATCAGCAAACTAGAAGTAGAAAGAAACTTCTTCAACCAGATAAAGGGCATCTATGAAAAACTTAGAGCTAACATCATACTTAACAGTGAAAGAATTAATGCTTCCTCCCTAATCATGAACAGGACAAGGATGTTCACATTTCTGCTCATATTCAACACTGTGTTGGAGGTTTGAGCAAGTGCAATAGGTAATAAAAAGAAATAAGAAGCTTATGGATTGAAAAGGAAGAAATTAAGCTGTAAAGTACAAGATAGCCAGTACAACTAATAAGTGAGTCTAGCAGTGTGGCAGGATACAAGATCAAATAGGATTTGAGAAAGTGATATATAAGACAGGTAAAAAAGGTCCAATATACTTTTAATATAAGTCCCTAAAAAAGAAAACCTAAGCAAAGGAAGCTTTTTTTTTTAATTGTTTTATTGCTTAAAGTATTACAAAGAGTATTACATATGTCTCCTTTTTTTCCCGCCCTTGACAATCCCCTGGCCTCCCCTACCCCCCAGTGTCTTATGTCCATTGGTTATGCTTATATGCATGCATACAAGTCCATCGGTTGATCTCTTACCCTTCCCTCCTGCCCCCCGACCTTCCCACTGTAGTTTGACAGTCTGTTCGAGGCTGCTCTGCCTCTGTATCTATTTTTGTTCATAAGTTTATAATGGTCTTTATTATCCATAAATGAGTGAGATCATGTGGTATTTTTCCTTCATTGACGCAAAGGAAGCTTTTAAAAAATGTTATTAAAAACCCTTTCTTGAAATAAAAAAAAAAAAGATTCAAAAGAGCACACCATATACCTTAGAAAATCAATCCAACAGAATTGAGATATATTATTGGACTTTAAAGGAAAAGAAAAATCCTTTGGGCATCCAAGCAAAGTGAGCAATTTACTTGTAATAGAAACAAAATCAGATTGTCATTAAACTTTACTAACAATAATAAGATATTAGAAAAGCAACTAACAACTGATAAGTGACAATGCTTACCATAAACAGAACTTGAAAAAATAAAATGAGTCTAAATTGCAATCACTATAATCTCTATCAACAAATACAATCTAGGCCGAAACCGGTTTGGCTCAGTGGATAGAGCGTCGGCCTGCGGACTGAAGGGTCCCGGGTTCGATTCTGGTCAAGGGCATGTGCCTGGGTTGCGGGCA